CAAAACGCTCCGTGCTCGGCACAAAAGAGGGAGGGTGGTGGCGGACGATGCGTGGGGGCGACAGACACGCGGGGAAAAAGCGGGCAGCGCTCGCGAGTTCCAGGGAGAATTAATAGCGAAAAGCGGCGAAACGCGCTGGACCACCTGGGCCCTCGTTTCATTCTGCTGTCGGCGTCGCGGAACAGCGATTTAGCATACACGAACAAAGGGGGGGGGGGGGGAGCGGACAGACACGCGGAGAGAGAGAGAGACGAGCTTGAAGCGCACGCACGTGCTCGCTAATTGTCGGATGCGCTGACACACTTTTCTCTCTTTACACCGCGCGGGTGCGCATACGCGCGCACGTATATATCCTACAGCCACTCTAATTGGCCGTCGATTATAACGGCCGGAACACCCATATCGCTCGAACTGGCGCAGACGCAGATTGCTCGCTCGCTCTCTCGCTTTCTGCTAATTAATGCACAAAACAGACAGCCAATCGTGGGAATCGCGAAGACTCACTCGTTAATCAGTCCCCCGACAAATCCCCTTTTGTCCCTAAAGTCTAATTGGCCCGGGCGCATGAAAAAGCTCGCGCGAGAGTGCGCCAGAATCGCTGACAAAGAGAGAGAGAGTGGAGCTTAGGCGTACGTGTGTGTATGCGCGGCGCGGAGCGGCTGCCTGCACGCCAAGGTAATTACTCGAGGCGTCAAAAATCGCGCGCCAAGCAGCCATTATCGAAATTGATATTTCATATGGACCCAGGAAACGCCTATGAATCACGAAAATGATCCGCTCGCAGGCCCTTCATTAAGCAAACTCAAAATATCGGCCGTCTTCTTCTCCTTCTCTTCCTCCTTCTCGCTACCTCGCTGCGGATTTCTTAAATATTTCGAAAGTGAAGCTTCAAATTATAGCTTTTAAAGATTGCGATCAATGACGCAACTTATCTCTCTATCTCTCTCTCTCTCTCTCTCTCTCTCGCTCTCTCTCTCTCCTTTTTTCACTTTCAAATACTTCTGCGAGCCTTTTGTCCGTCTCCCGATTGAAATTCATGCAGTTCCCTCTCTCTCTTTCGCTCTCGAGGCATAAATTTTGCACGCGGGGGGACGAGAAAAAGCTCGCGCGCGTAAAAGCGTCATCGCCTTTGTTTTTTCTTTTCCTTTTTGCTTTTATACCGTCGCCGAAAGCACGCGAAAGCGTAATATCGAGAGGCGCGCACGACGCGCGGCCAGACAAAAAAACCCAATGATTCATGACGAACGCAAGGCCAAAAGCGCTTTCGGACGCGTAAATCGGCGAGTTTACTTCGAATGGTGTAAAAAAGAATGTTGCGCTATAAAATTCAAATGGATACACAAAGTTTCAGGTCTCGTTTCAGGTGCTAATTCCATCCGAACTCTCGTCATCCGGTTTCTCAATATTCATAATTCTTGCGTTTATTTTGTTTTTTTTTTTTTCGTTTTTTTTTTCGCCGACAAGTGCATCCTAGCGGCAGTAGCAGCGGTAGCAGCAGCAGAAGCCGCGCGAGCTGGATGCTAATTGCCAGAGCTGACTAACGGCTCACTTAGCGCTGGATGCTTCGTTAATTGTTCTTGTGCTTCTGCTCGCTCACACAAACCGTTAGGAATCCTCGTAGATAAGCCCGGCTATTTATGAAAAGACGCGCGAGTTTTATCTGGCGGATAGATCGCTGATCGCGTTTTACGCTGCGGCGTACATAAAATTGAGACGCGCATACTCCGCGCCGTGCACCCAACGCGGAGAAATATCGCGGCTATATAGAGATATCGAGAGAGAGAGAGAGAGAGAGAGAGAGAGAGAGAGAACCATAACTTGGCTGGGCGCGCGCGGCTGTGTTTATGTAGTTTTAATAATGCCTGATATCTGGCGACGCCCCGCTGGGCTCGTGGTAGGTCGTATTCCCTCTCTCTCTCTCTCTCTCTCTCTCTCTCTCCACACTGTATCTCTTTCGTTGCTCCGTATCTTTTTTTTCCCCCGCTCACCTTGTGCCATCTCCCTCTCTCTATTAGTGCAGCTTCATGAATCAGCGCCTTCTCTCTCTTTCTCTCTCGGCTCTCTTATTCAGCCTTCGATCAATTACACGTATTTACGTCGGACAATGCGCTCCTCGCTTATTTAATCTCATGTGGGACAATCGCACGCAGCGCCATAACTCAGCTCTGAATTTACAAGCCAGTAATACCGTGTCAGCGGGCGCATTTACAAGCTGCGAGAAGAAAGCTAAAAAAGGATGCGCGACCACCTCTCGCGTGTAATATCCCTATCGCTCTCCCTCTTTTTCTCTCTCTCGGACTCGGCGCACTTTTATTAATAAGGATAAATCAGGCGCCCCGCCGATGAAGTTGTTACGCCCGAGAGAGAGCGGGACGGGGGGGGGGGGGGGGGAGTGCAAGCGTCTCCCTCTGTAATGGCTATAAATACACGTATCGCCATTGAAAAATCAAGGGGAAAAAAGCAAGTGCAATTTGCTAATTGACGACTTTGCACGCCCGCGAAGGATCCGCGGTCCGTGGAATGTCATTCTCACGCAACCGCAAATTATGAGGGAGAAAGAGAGAGAGAGAGAGAGAGAGAGAGAGAGAGAGAGAGGAGCCAGCTAGAGCGAGAGATTCGGAAATTAGGAGGGAGAGAAGGAGAGCGAGCAAATTATACCGGAATTCACGCGCTCACAAGCTGCCGTGAGGCGAGCGAGAAGCCCACACTCGTCGACACCACTCGCGCCAGACCGAGCCGGCTTATTATTTAGATGCGCAATTTATTTTATCGAGGTATATGTGTGTGCGCGCGCGCGCGTGTGCACCCCGGCCGAGGATTTTTCACTAAATTAGCGCTAAATGATAGGATCTTTGAGGGAATTTCGCAGATTATTTTAATATCTCTCTCTCGCTTCGGCCTATCACGACTCATGCTTTTTTTCTCCCTTCTCCCGATCTTGTTTTCTTCTTTTCATTTTGATCTGCGCTTGATTGTCCGCTGCGCCGTTGCTTGTTTTGCTATCCGCCATGCGAGCAGACTTGATCGCGCTGAATTAACCATCTTTAAAGAGTTTATGTTACGCTCGACTCGAGAGAAGAAGCGAGAGAGGGAAAGCGATCAATTATAATCTGCAAGCCTAACTGTCAGCCGTATATCACGTCGCGCGACGCGAGATTGTTCTGTTGCGCGCATATATGCTCTCTCGTCCGCGTAAATATTAGAGGCTTAAACGTTGCTCACGCGGCTGTCTTGCAAATATGAGTAGAGACTCGCAGCAGCACTCGCGGAACGCGGAAGGTCAGAGCCCCGCGCCGCGCGCGCGCACTAAGTGTCTCTAAATACCTGGCTAACGAGAGTTTCAATTGCCGCCGGCGAACGCGCGAGAAAAAGCGCGCGCGATAAACGTCGTTAAAGCCGCGCGCCGCTCCTTCCCCGCCGACTTTTTCGTGGCTCGCGCCCGAGCCGCTGATGGGATAATTGTTGTTTTGCAAGAAGGCATGCGCGCGAACGAGCCGACCGAAATGAAAAAATAAATAAATAAATAAACCACGAGAAAAGAAAAAATACCGCGCCCTGCGATTTCCGCGAACTGATACTATTAAGCAGTGCCGAGAGCGAGCGAGCGGTCGGCTATCTTTATGGCGGTGCTCGCTCGCAGATAGCCCCGACGAGCATAATTATCCGGCCTGTAAACACCTACCTAATTAAAATCGGGACGTCTTAACGCGCCGAGCGTCGATTAATATCGACCACCTCGGTATTCCCGTACCGGTTTCCGCGCCGCTCGCGCGCGGCTTTTCGCGAGCCGGCAAGCGCGCGAGGCGTCAGGCCACGGCGGCGACGGCTTCGGTGGGAGGGGGGAGGGGGAGGAGCGCGCGCCGCGCACAATTCTCGGTTCCTCCTTCCGAAATTGCCGAAAACGGGACCACCCAAACGTACGAAAGCTCTCGCCGGGGCTGCGAGCTAATTGAGGTGCGCGCGAAGGAGATCGCTCTATTAGGGGGCGGCCCCTTTTACGCGCGCGCTCTCTCTCTCTCTCTCTCTCTCTCTCTCTCTCTCTCTCACTCTTTCGTTTGCTTTCACCCTGCCGCCCTCTGTCCGCGTTCACGGACAGTCGTAATTTTTGCTAATCGCTAAAATATTTCACTTCCGAAAGCTGCTTGCGTCCGGCGAAGGGCGCGTACGCGAAACTCGTGGCGCGTGCAATCAGGCTAATTCGGCCTATAAAGGCTGCTTCGCGAACTTTACGAGCCCCCTATTCGTCTCGCCCGCGCTGCCCTTTATTAATATACCTCGGCAAGTGCGTATAAAAATCACGATTTTATAATGATAATTGTTTCGCTCGCGATAGCGAGGCTTTTTATTCGCGGACGAGCGGCGCACTAAGTGGCGCGATAAATTTTCTCGCGCTACATTTTCTACCTTGTATAGTTTCAATCAAATTCGTGCATTATAAGGCGCATGCGTGTCCCAGCGCTCAGCGTTTTATAGGCATGCGAAATTCCAAGCTCGCCAGTAAAACTATTTTATAGGAATACGCGCGCGAGCGCAGCCCCTTCGTCCTTCCGTCATTTTTTTCGTTTTTTTTTCTGCGCGCGCTCTTTCCTCGTCCGATTCCTTGACTCTTCATTCGTTTTATTGCGCACTTGGGGGCGCTCGCGCGTCCTCGTACGTATAAACTTAAATTACAGCTAAAAGCTGTGTTCTACACGCCCCATAAACCTCTAATTTTCGACGTTTTATTTGTACTTACCAAAGCCCATTCTTGCCTGACGACCGACCATGTTTCTTTATGCCCCTCGTGCATTTTTCGCGCCCAATGAAGATGTTTTATTTAATGGATTACACTTTTATTTAGCCGTGCGCGCGCAAGTCGTACCGTTCGCTCGACGGCCGTTGGATGCACAAGGTAATCGAAACACTCTGCCTCTTTTGTTTAATAAAAAAAATTTATTATCATCTCAATTCAATTGAAATAACATGTGTTTTATACAAGTAGTACAGAGCTTACGTCGCAATCGACGTACGAGATGGCACGAGGTACTGGATGAAGGCACTGCATGTCCAATGTGAAAAGATATGAAAGATGAAGCGTATGGGGATAGGGGAAGCTGAACTCTACATAAGTATCGACGTTTACTTAATCGTTAAAAACTTAATAACGCTATCGTTAGAGAGGCTGCCGCAATTTGTCTAAAATTACCGCAGCTCGCGAGTCTGTTATGCAAGATGTTGGAAAAATACACAGCCAGCAATCTCGTAAAAGCTATCGAGGAAGCTTGAATTATGTGACTGTCGGTAGAGATTTGTCGAAACCGGAAGGAAAATACTTGCGTATACGCTTAGGCAATAACGAGGGAGGGAGAGAGAAAAGAAAGTACGCTACAGTTTGAGTGCGGATTAATCGCTCGTATACTAGCATTTAAAATAATTTAATTTCTTCTCGATGCTTAAAATCTGGATTTAGAGGCCGCACAATCGCCATAACGAGATATTCTTTGAAAATAAATCACCACTTTCGAGATCATAAAAGCTTTACGACGCTTGATAGCAATCAATAATATTTATTACAAGCTATAAAAAAAGAGCGAGAGAGAGGCGATCTCGCGATATAAATTACATAGATTTCGACATTGCAGATATTCCAAAAAAATTTTAAATTCAATATAGAGAATTCATCACAGATACATTTTAGTTTTGCGATTTATTTATTTATTTATCAACTGCTGAGAGCGAAAGGAAATCGTATATTATGTTCTTACTCGAATCACTTGCCTTGCGTCTCGCGGCATCAAGTATAATAAAAACAGCTGAAAAGGAAGTGATTCCAAGCTCGGCAGAGCTAAGGCGTGTGAAAAAGGAGAGCGAGTCAGTCAACAGTTTGCAAAGAACTTGTTGTAAATATAAAAAGGTGTAAACGTGTGAATGAAGTGATATTAACGACAGGTATTGAGGGTCTTCTTGACAAGGCAGGTGTTGCAGGTGACCTCGCAACACCACCTGAACCTGCACTCGCAATTGACCTTCTCCTTGATGATCTTGGTATCGTATCCACGGCCGCAGCACAGTAACTCACAGCCGTCGACCCCCTGAGAGGTGGCATTGCACTCTCTGCCCTGGGTGCCCAGTGCTCCGGTTTTCCGATTGGCTCGGCAAAAGTCCGGCGAGTCCTCGCTGTAAATGAGGTCGAAGCGGCCCGGCGGTTTGATGGTCAGGCCCTCGGTAATGAAGCTGTGTCCGTCGTTGCCCGGGATGACCTTGGCCGCGCCGTCGAACGACTCCTTGAGACGGTTACCCACCTCGCGGAACGGTGGCATCTTGCGCCAGCAGGTGCGCACCGTGCACGAGCCCGACAGCCCGTGGCACTTGCACTCGGTACGCATGAAGTTCCGCACCGCCTGCGTCGACGCCAAACAAAGCCAACGCATCAGCTGTGCGAGAGAATCGACGGAAGCTCGCGGACAGGCTCACCAGTCGGCCGGCGTCGTTGTTGTGCCGCTTGAGCAGCGTCTTGATGTCGCTGCGCTTCCTGAAGGGTGCGTCCATGAACTCCCGGGACTTTTTGAATCCGAAGTTGACGTTGTCGCCGCAGCCACCCCACTCCCAGTCGCCGTCCATCGGCAAGTGCCTGCTCTTGCTAGCCAGTCTGCCGAGTTTGGCGAAGCGACTACCTGCGGACGAGCCGAGCAATTACGCGAGCGGCCTGCGAGAAATTGGCTAATCGAAGGGGCTCGCGATCGGCGTGCTCTTCTGCGGAGAGCCGCCGAGGGAAAAACATGGGCAAGTCCCCCGCAGCAGCGGCACGAGTGGCTCTGCGCGCACGGCCTAATTGATAATCTGCACGCGCATTAAAGCCGCGCGCGATCCGATAAGCTGTCATTCCTCGGACAGCCTCTTGTCAGGCGAAAGGCCCTTTAATGTTTTTCCGCGGGCGCACGCTGTCGATGTGCGTCTGCTCGCCGCGGACGCACGTCGCGCACGGCCGGGCCGCTCGGTTGCGCAAGCAAATTGCAGGTGTAATTGACGCGCGCAAAGCAGATAATTACGTACGTCGGCGCGCTGCCGCCGCCGCCGTTGCTGTTGCACGCAAAAGGAGCGCGTCCGCGCCGACCGTCCCTCGCTCTTCCGCGCTATGAGCGGCTCTAATTGCCCACGCTCCATTCAATAGATAAGGATTGTATCGAGGTCAGCGTTGCTCAAATACTTACTCTTGGGGTTCATTTTCTCGCAGGAGCACTCCACGAGCTCGCCCATGGTGCAGGCTCGCGTCACCGCGTAAGTCACGCCGGCGGCGGTGATAGCATTGACGAAGCCGGTCTCCCTCGTATCTGCGAACAGCAACAACAACCAACCAAATTTTCAATTCCATAATTGGCCTGCAGTCCCATCTTCTGCCTAATCTTTCGTCCATTTGGAATACTTGGCTCTCGCAATCGCGCTTGCTACGCGCCATCTCAAAGCGCCCGTAAAAGCTATCCTCGTCGCCAATAGCGGCTTATCTGTGCATTGTGCGATGATCCGGTTTCCCCGCCGATGGATCTCTCGATTCGCATTCCCAAATAATTAGTGCGCCGCGCGTAAGCGGCAGAATATCGCGATACAACGAAGATAGCATTAAAACGTCAAACGTGAAATCCCGTTCAAGGAAATAGAAAAAGGATTTGCATGTGAAAAGCAAAGAGCAAAAACGTTTGACAGCACGAGCATTGTGAAAGTGTGTTCCGGGACGAAGTGGACTTCATTCACGTTCTATTCTGTGAATGGAATATCATCTTGTGGCCCGCTGCCAGGCAAAAATCATATAATGCATCACACGAAAATAAAAGTATAATAATGGCGAAGACAATAAAAAGAAGGGGATTGCGCGCGCAAGTGGGCGTACTTCCGCTTTCCTCCAAACATATGAGACAAAACAAGAAAAAATCGGGGGGCGAGAGAGGCAAGAAGAGAGCCGAATATAGAGAGGCGCAAAGGAGCCTCGGCCGGCCATTGCGCGCGTTGGCACGCGTCCCGCCCTTATGAATATTGAAAGGCCAGTGGGTGGTGTCGAGAGTCTCTCGGCTGCAGCAGCAGCAGGAGCAGCAGCCACAGCCTCAGCCGCAGCAGCAGCGTGAAAAGAGAAGGTCTTGGGAGCAGTGATCGTTCAGTGGGTCCCACCGGGCGAACCAACTTGCGCCAGTGTATTGGGTTTCACCTGTCACGCATCCACTCCATCATTAGCTCGCTCCCACAACGTATATACAAACGCACGCGCACACATGCACTGCGGCTAAAATGCACTTCTTTCTCTTTGTCGCGCGAAAGCCTCTCTCTTGTGCAGCGTTTTTCCGAAATCAGATCGCGACTCGTCAGAAATTAACTCATAACCTGGAATGCCACTCCAATTACGGAGAGACCAAGGTGTTATCTCTTTCTCTCTCAAGCGAGACAAGTCGAGAATTCTCTTCTTTTTCGAGAGATCCGTCATTCCTGCGTTACCCGATCGGATCGCAGTCGCAACAGCAGCAGCAGCAGCAGCAGCAGCAGCAGCAGCAGCAGCAGCAGCAGCAGCAGCAGTGAGATTGTTGTTAGGCCGAAAGTCGCGAGAAGAACGAGAGAGAGAGAGAGAAAGAGAGAAAGGATACTGAGAGAGCTGCTATAACGATTTCAGGGCAATTATGCTGAGTGGAAATGTCAAGTGCACCGACTGATTTATGGTCCGGACCTTGAGAATCGTAACAGAATGATTACGCACTCGCTCGAGCGGACTATTCTTCGATTTACAAATGTACACTCGGCTCTTTATGCTTTTTCAACGCCACCGCCGCACAGCAGAACTTCAATGGACTCGCTTGCTCGCCCCCCCCCCCCCCCCTCCAGTCTTATGGAAATGGAAATGTTCACGCTTTACGAGCATTGAATGGGCGTTAGATGACGATTACCACCTGATACCGCATGTAACAGTAACTACACATAATGCTTGGGACATTTATCATGTTTTACCGTAATTTTCGCGTGCACTGCATAAGCGAGGCTGCCGAGATAAGCTGGTGACAGAAGTGGGATAGCATCGATATTCGTTAAAGCAGCCGTGGATGTGCGAGATGGAATCTTTGGCAGAACTGAAAAGCTCGCGATAAGCTTAGACACAGTTAGTCGCTGGAACGTCGCTTGCGGCAATAAAACGCAAAAGAGCACAGCGAGGAGGAAGAAAGAAGCAGGAAAGAAGAAGCTTTGGGCCTACAGGGCCTCCTAATTGAGAGGCAGTGGCGATATCTCGCGTGTGTGCGTTGGCGATGGCTTGCGAGCGCTTAGACACCATAGGCAATAGTCGGATCTGACAGTAGCGATCTCTTTCTCCCTCTCATTCTCTCGGTGTTTCTCTCTGTCCGGTTGCGCGCATTAAGAGCCAAGGAGCACACAGGCGAGCGCGGAGACAGGGGCAGCCGATTGATCGTGTGTGAGTGGAGGTCCTTCGAGGCTGACTGCGTGCGGACCGTGTGTGCCGTACGCGCGGAGAGTCGAGTGAAGAAAAAGAAGGGGTTATGCGTTATAGCGTATATCCCTCTCTCGCGGCAAGAGAGAGAGAGAGAGAGAGAGAGAGAGAGAGAGCGCCAAAGGTTCCCATGGATTCCACTGGCGGCTATATCTTCAGCGCGGATCGACGGCCCGAGAGCAGCTTCTCCCTCTCTCTCCCTTGCTTGCTCGTCGTCGTTCGCTCGCTTGCTTGCTCGCTTGCTTGCTCGTGCTCCGTGTGTATCTTCTGATGCATCGCCTCACCTTTCAGTGCGTATTTAAACGATACGATACACGTTTTATACGCATGACGGAAGCTTGCACCAGAAAGAGAGAGAGAGAGAGAGAGAGAGAGAGAGAGAGAGAGTTTCTCGTTCCTTATCCCGTTTGCTCGACAGCTTTTTTGTTTGTTTACTAATTGAATTATATCCGGCGCTCGTCCAAGTTGATGCGACAGCGTGTTCGGGTGGCTCGCGCGCGCTCACGTACTCGCGCGGCAATTGCACCGAGAGTATGTCGCAGCTCGGGTTATTATTTGTCACGTACAAGCACTGCGCGAGCAGCTCGAGTGACGACGTGACTCGGCTCATAGAGAGCCGGCAGAATTGAAACGTTGTCGCGTGTCGTCGCTTACGTTTACGCTTATTATAGCGCGGGAGCTGAGGTTGCCGCCGAGCGAAGGAGTCGCACCCGCGAGAGAATTTGCGCACGTGGGAAAGCTGGTGCTACGCAAATTTTCGTATTTGTCCTTAAAGGAGCGAGAGAGATCGTTGAATGGAGCCTTTGAATTGAAATGAGCAACCCCGAGCAGATCTTTCTCCGCAGTCGAAATTGGACAATGCCAAGTAATGACAGAAAGAGAGAGAGAGAGAGAGAGAGAGAGAGAAACACTTCGATATAAATCGAGACAAGGGCCCGTAAATAAGCACCGCGCGTAAGGAATATTCAATGAGCTCTCTCTCTCTCTCTCTCTCTCTCTCGCTCTCGCGCGCTCCCAATAAATACCGCGTTTCCAATAAATACCGCGGACGCATGAATGCGCCCCGATATAGAGGCACTTTATCTCTCTCGCTGGCCTACTGCTTCTCGGTCTCTCCCGAGAGAGAGAGAGAGAGAGAGAGAGAGAGCATTCCGCGTACTTTTGAATATTTCTCGGCGAGAGAGCGAGGCGAGATTTAATTACGACGAGCTCGTAAATAAGACACGCCGATATCGCGATTTCCGTCCGCGCGGTTGCACACGCAGATTATCTATTGTCAATTAAAAGTACATGCGCGAGCTTTCGAGCCGTGCGCGCGCTGTCATCGCTCTCCGATCTTAAAAAAAAAATACAAAAACAGAAACTCGACAGAATTTCGTTTCTAATCGTGATGGAGTTTTTAGGGCGGGAAGGCCTGGAAAGGAAGCGAGAAACAAAAAAAAACCTACGAATAATGCGTTACGCTCCGAACGACTTCAGGAATGTTACGGAAGTCAAAAAGGAAACAAAAAGCACGCTTTTTTCGTGCTGCCAAAGCATTCTAGAGCGCTGAAAAGACAATTCTGAAATACTCAAGCTGAGGATAATTCTTGAGAAAAAAAAGCGCAACAGTCTGAAGTCTGGAGCCCTTGAAAGAGAGAGAGAGAGAGAGAGAGAGAGAGAGAGAGAGAGAGCGAGAGAGAGAGAGAGAGAGGGAGAGAGGGAAAAAAGGAAGCAAGTATTTCCCCGTCGGAGCATTCAGACGTCAGCTCGCGAGTCTAACAAAGTAACAGATCTGCTTGCTGCTGCTGCTGTTCCAGGCTACAATAAACGCACGGGACACTAAACTGTTTGCTACTGTCAATCGTTCGCGCGCAAAAATTTATTGCGAGCTGCTCGCGATTTTTCTCGTTCTAGCGACATTCCACTGCTCCTCTCTGGCTCTTTTCTCAGCCGAATGCTGCGGCTCGTACTGCCGCGATCAATATGTATCGCGGCAATTAGCGATTATCTCGAAATCCTTTTACGCCGAGCTCGCGAACGAGGGCCGATTTCGCCGGCCATAGCTCAAGCCAAATGGACGCGCGCGTATTCGTTGTCAACGTCGAGCGCTGGAATGCGATGAGCGATCGCGGCGCACGACTTGTCGAGAAACCAGGGAAAAGCGCCGGACAATGGCTAACTCTATCAGAGCTGAGCGAAGCGTAGGTGCGGGAGCCGACGAGGCGCTGCGAGCTTGACGTCTCAGTGGTTGCTCGAGTCGAAAATCGCATCACTCTCGTGCCACCCCGAACAAAACGCGCCCCGGTCGTTAATGTTGCCAACAGAAAGCACCCAGGCGTTTTCGTGTGCGTGCACGCGCGCGCGCGCGCACGCTACCGGCTCTGCGTGGCGAGCAAGAAAAAAAGGCCACGGGGGGGTTGGACGAGCCGACTGACAGGTAGCGCGGCGGGTGGGCCTTGCGCAAAATATTGTGTGTCCCGGGTGCCTGCGATGCAGCCCAGGTCGCGGCATTTGCATGATTTATTGACGAGCGAGGGAGAGAGAGAGAAAGACAGAGCGTCCCGCAGGGCGCGATCATGATTTTTCCCCGCAGGTGTCACTCACGAGTCCATCATCGCCTGCACGCGACGACACTCAGGCCTCGTAAATTATGACACATCGCGCGCACTCTCTCTCTCTCTCTCTCCCTCTGCTTTTTTTTCTGTTATTGCCAATTTAATCTTTATGGCCGTGTCGTAAAGCGATCGCGTGTTGATTTTTCGCGATGTATATCTGTATTAATTCGAGTCGAAGGAAAGAGGAGGAAAAAAGGCGGATAAGACGTCGCACGGCGTGGCGATCGCCGTGTGTGCTCGTGACGCGTATCATGCACCGCGCTGCAGCGAGCGAGGCACCACGTGACTGAACGGGTTTTCTCAGATTCCCAATAACTTATCGGCTTTATTATATAGATCCGCGCGCGGAGTTTACGAGCCGACGAGTTCGCCGCCTTGGCGGTTTACTGCCGAATAATTAGCTCCGATTTAGTAGCCGAGTCTATTCCCAATGACGCGTGCTCTCGAGAGGGACCACACAAGAGAGAGAGAGTGCGAGAGGCGGGGAGGGGGGGAGAGAGGCCTCCTTTTTTTATTACGCGTAAACCGTTGACTTTATTCCGAGAGCGAGAGCGAGGCAACAGGTGCTGAGAGGAAACAGCCTAATCAAGTCACGGATACACGCGCCAGCGACGAATCCATTAAGCCTCGGAGCTTATCGTCTCTCCACTCTCGCTCTCTCCCGTAATTCCTTGACTAATTTTCAGCTTCTTCTCTCTCTCTCTCTCTCTCTCTTGCTCGAGAGAGAGAGAAAACGCGCGACAGCCGAAGAAATCTGTTAATGAAATTAACATTTTTTCGAGGCCTATAAAATACAATGTTGCGCGCGAGCACTAATTAACACGCTTTTCGTCAATCATAAAGCACGCTGGCATTCCGCGGAGTCGCGCTAATGAAGAAGCCGGCGGCCGGTGATATTGGCAAGTTGGCCGTTGAACAACGCCTAGCAACGTCGAAAAGCGCCCAGCCCCGGAAGTGCGCGAGCTTTCCAGTAGCCGACCGGGTGGCCGGACTTCCCACGGCGCGCGAGCTGTCATCGATCCTCACGCGGCCTCTCCAGTATTTATGTAGCCCCGACTGCCTCTCCCCTCCTCCTCTTTCTTTTTTATTTCATTTCCCATTAGAGGCATTTACATACGGTGAGCGCAGTTATTGGCCGTATATTGTCGTTATTACGTGAGGAAGTATTCGGGCGCGCTTGTCTCTTCTGCCGAGCGAGCAGCAGGTATAAATGCTTTACGTAACGACACGAAGCGACGAGGAGCTGCTTTATCTACACAACGCTTGATCTTTATCACTGTCACCTGGGCTGCTGCTGCCGCCGCTGGCGTCGTCCTTGGAAAATCCGGTAAGTCATCGTGACAAAGGCGCTCGGGCGCGTGCGACAAGCTGAAAAGGAGCTCTCGCCGCGGGCAGTTTTTCCGGTGCTGACAGGTGGCTTTGTCGCAATTTGCAGGGAGCCAGAGGTGCCCAGATGAGCCGGGTCTCTCTCTCTCTCTCTCTCTCTCTCTCTCTCTCTCTCTCACGGGAACTCGCCAAAGCGAGATAGCCATCGGATCCTTCTCCCGAGCGGCCGAGGCGGAGGAATTAAGAGAACATATCGCCGCTAATACAGTGTCAATCTGTCAGGCTACCAAGAGCCCGAAAGAAGAAGGGAGAGGGAACGATTTAGTTGTCGCGCTCGATCGGCTGGAATTAATACTGCGGGACGAGAGGCGCCGAGAGAATTTTCGAGCACATTAAAATTTATTCCCGCTACCTTCTTCCAGCGAGCGATCGAGCAACGACGAGTCCAACGGTTACCGAACCCGATCGCGCCCCCGATATCTCTCTCTTTCTTTTTTCTCTTTTTTTTAATCCTGAGTTATGCATCTTCATTCTTGCGAGAGATAAACGTAAGCGAGAGAGAGAGATGCGCGCACGTGGGTGGCAATCGGAACGCGCTCGATTTAAATTTAATATACTTGTAGGCGCACAGCATTAAAAGAAAGGCTTATCTCGCTAATTTTCGAGAATCGCCGAGAGAGAGAGAGAGAGACCTATTGATGACTTCTTTCTCCTCTATCTCTCTCTCTCTCTCTCTCTCTGTCGCTACCTTCGCCTTCTCTAGATCTCGTCTCTTTTTGCTCGACTAATTCTTATTTACGATGCGATTCTTAAGTACCTCTCGCGATAAGGTTGTTTTTCCCTTCCTCCCGGCGCGGCAACAGCTAGAAATTGGATTTTTACGAGCTGCGCGCTCATTGATTAGCCAACGAACAAGCGTTTGTCAAAAAGTTTATTAGGGGCCAACGCCACCTCGGCGACGAGCCCGTGCGCGTTAATAAACTCATCTAAGCGAAAATTCGGGCTCGCGAGTGGAGCAAATGAGAGAGAGAGAGAGAGAGAGAGAGAGAGAGAGAGAGAGAGAAGGAGAGAGAGAGAAGCCGGGACAAATGAAGCGATCATACGGTAGTAATGAATGGCGCGCCGCCTTGGTTGCCCTGTAATCTCGGCTGGCATTGTGTTGAGAGAGTGTGCGAGAGTGGCCCCGCGGCGTGAGCGCTCGAAGAAGCGAAGAAGACGAAGCGGGAGAGAGAGAGTGGAGGGCAAAAAAGCGACGACGACCGCGGGGCCCCCCTCCCGCGAGAAATAGAGCTCAGCGGCCAAGAGAAAGAGAGAGCGAGAAAGCAGCTTGGAGCGAAAAGCCTTCGAGCTCATGGGAACTCACCGCGGAGGACGATCTTCTTGAGGGAGCGACGGAAGGTGGTGCAGTTCCAGCGACGGTTGCGGAACTGAAACTGGCACTCGCGCGTGCCCACCTGCATGCCCCTCGTGATCTGCTTCAGCAGCGCCGGCTCCTTGCGGCAAATGTCCGCCAACTTGCCGCGCAGCCGACGAGTCTTCTTGCACACATGCACCGGGTCCATCACCAGCTGACTGCCGACCGTCCTGCGAACAAATCAGCGTGCCACTCCGGTGAGTCGGCCGGTTTGCTGCCGCAGCTTGCGCGCCTCGGCGAGCTTTCCCCCCCTCCCCCCCTCACCCCCCGGATGCGCGTGCGTCGACAGAACGATTACGGCGCGTAATTTAGGCAGCCCATAAATAATGCGGCTAAGCTCGCGGGCCGCATAGCTGCCCGCTGGGCGCCCGCGAATTACGATTCAAGTAGGCAGATTAGCCGCGTGTTGTGTCTCGAGGCTCGTCGTGCGGTTGCGCCGCGCGTCGCCGCGAATTTATATCGGGCGATTTTGATTCCAAATTTATATTTCACTTGGCAGCTCGTCAGCGCCTCCCCTTCCTCGCGCCCTGCGCCTCGGCCCGGCTTATTTTGGTCCTCGTGCGCGATCCGCTTCGCGACGAATCGAGGAGTCGCGCGGAAAAACAACGGAGTGCTTTCCATTCCAGCAGCCGCGCGTATAAGTCAAAAGGAAATTCCAACCTCGCATTCCGCTTAATTTACGCCGCAAAGCACTTACGTCGATATAATGGGGGTGGGGGAGGGGGGAATTGCACGTGTAGCGCGCCCGCGGCGGCGAAAAATTCTAAAAGCCTGTCGCGGACGGCAGTCCTCGCGGTGAAAACTTTAATTAAGATCGATTAGCGGCGAGCGACAGAGAGAATGCGCGCGACCGCGTCCTCTCCGTTCGGCTTTTCGCCGTTAACCGACGTGAAACTCGGTTATTTTATTTTTCATTTTATTTATTTATTTATTTTTTTTTCGATCGTTCGGAACGGCAAAGGTAAAAGGCACAACTCGACGAGAAAGCAAATTGATTTACGAGCTCATGTGAGTCGCCACTGCAAAACTGCCCGATTCACTCTTTAACGGAATTTCATCGGGGTCCGGACGGGAGGAGAAGCAGCGTAAGAAAAATACAGGTGCGAGCGGGCTAACAATAATTCAGTCTAGATCCGCGAGAATCGCACAATTACACTAAACATTCGAAGCACAGAATGCAAAGAAGCTCTAATTAGCATAAACTAATTTCGATTTCTTGGATGATGGAAAATACTGGCTAATTCAGTTTAATTTTGGCGATTGGACCGCGGGTCGTGCGTTGATCGGCGCTCGGCATCATTCAAGAATAATGATCCAGGCGACGTGTAATTGCCGAAAAATGTGTCGGTTCGGTGGCACTGGCCTACTTAAATTCCCACGAGAGCAGTACAGCGAGCAGTGAGCAACGTCCGCGTCAATCACAGTTGGAGGATTCGAGATAAAGGCCTGAAGGAGGAGCCGAGAGAGAGAGAGAGAGAGAGAGAGAGAGAGAGAGAGAGAGAGAGAGAGAGCCAGAGCTGCGAGAGAAGAATGGGGGCATTATAAGGATTCGAGGAGAGAAAGAGAGACGGACACATTGTCGTGCGGAGTTGGACTTATTTATTGCCTCATTAGACGCGCTCCACGCTGTCTGCTCGCGATAGACAGTGACGAGAGCGAGAGCCTTGCGAGGATAGAGGTGGGGAGGGGGGGGGGGGGCAATGAGAAAAAACGAGCGCAAGCACTCACGCACCAAGGCTCGGCGCTGCAGCCCCGAATTCCACGGATATCTGCGGTCGCGAGACAAGGACACAAGAAGGCCGCGGCGCGCTTTTTCCAGCCAGTTATGCGCTTATTATTCCATACGCGATAGCTTCGCGCGCGCTCTTCTTTCTTTTTTCTCTTTTCTCTCGTTTTTTCTTCTTTTGCCGCTGTGTCCAGCCGCGCGCGCGCTTATGGGTTCATTCGGTGTGATGATGATGTACTCGAAATTTTTACGCTCGACCTGCCGCCGCAACCGTCCGACAAACTGACAAGCCCAACACGATCGTTTTTGCTGCGGTGCGCGCGCGCCGCTATCATGTACGAGTCGACGTTCGCTCGTTTCTCTTAGCTGCTATCGCGAATCATTAGAAAACGTTTAGATAGCGGAATCGATTTGAGCACATAGAACGAGGCTTTTAAAAAAAAACGCGCGCTGTTGGTTGCCTCGATGAAAGTAATGGTTATGGATTTTAATTAGAGGACATTTCAATCTAATCCACGGTAATTCTCAGCTCATTTAAAAACCGATACTTTCCATTATCAATCCTGGGCGATAAATCACTCGCCGGCTCTCTCACTCAGCGCTGGGCTCCGGCGCAGCGAGCGGAGGGAACAAATCGACGCACATGTAGCGCGTCTCATGCAGCTTAAAAGCATTAAAGATAAGACGAATGTTCATCTAATTGATCTTCATTGTAAGTTGCTTGCAGATCCATCTTTCGCGTCCCCTGCTCCCTCCCGCTTCCCATTCAATGCAGCCCAGAAGCGCAGCAGCAGCAGAAGCAGTTGAATGGAGCTTCGAACAGCGAGGCAGCAAAGGGAAAAAATAAAAGAGAGAGAGAGAGAGAGAGAGAGAGAGAGAGAGAGAGAGAGAGAGAGAGGAGGAAGGAAAAAAAGCTCGCGGGCGCGAGCGCGCGGGTTATCGAGAGCAACACGAGCAAAGAATGCCGCGTACAAATTAGCGGTGCAAGGGTCACCGTGCGAACGGGCAGACCTTTGGAATGTCTCCCTCTCTCTCTCTCTCTCTCTCTCTCTCGTTCCAGCTCTCAGCGCGAGCTTCGTGCGTGCGCACATTCCTCAATGCACTCTCTCTCTCTCTCTCGCCGCGGTGAGCAGCAGCGGGGCTCGAAAGAATTATTCAAAAAAGCTGCGCGCGCATTAAGCTGCGAGTGAGAGAGCGCGCGCGAGAGAGAGCTGGATTCCAGTTGCGAGCGCGCTTGCAAAATCGATTTGTACGCCCCGGCAGAAATTTATGCCGCGACGCTAAAATTTCGCGAGACAGAGACGTTTTCTACCCGGTCGGCGATCGTAAATCTGCATAGGCGTTTACGATCAACGCCCGCCATTTTGTCAGAGAGAGAGAGAGAGAGAGAGAGAGAGAGAATGGCATTATAACGTGAGCCTGCCGCGGCTGCAAGTGCAGCGCGCGGCAAGGCAGGCACGGGTGGCGTCGAAAAATCCGCGCGATCGCTTACTGTTACAGATCCGCGAAAGGGAGCGTGGCGCGCTAATTGGCGAAAATTTTGCGTCGTCGCGATAAGTGAGCGTTTATCATGCCAAACAAAGGCGGATGTTCCCTGCGCCCCCCTCCCTCCTCCCGTTGCCCCCCGTAGCCCCCACCCCGCGGCTGCCACTAATATGTTTATCAAACAGCGCAGTCCGGCGAGAGTGCTCGCGGTCGTCGCGGCGCGCGCTCCTCTCGTCGGTCAAGATGTGTGCGCAGTCCTTTTTAAATCGGTTGGGCAAACATTTGCGCGAGGAACGAGAGAGAGAGAGAGAGAGAGAGAGAGAGAGAGAGAGACAGACAGAGAGAGAGAGAGAGAGAGAGAGTACGATTGTTGCCGAGAGCGTGTCATCTCTTCCTCTCCGCCTTTCGCCGGCTGTCACTTGTGAAAACACCATTTTTATACGGATACACGCAGCAGCCTCTCGCGCGTCGTGTGTGCGCGTACGTGCGTATGTGTGTGTGTTTGTAGACGCGCTCGAAGCCCATTCATGAATACATACCATCTCGTCCATATGCCGGTGTGGAGAGGAAAGCGGCTCCGCCGGCAGGTATTTAAAGGACAGAGAAAATCGACCGGCACGCAAATGGGCCTTGGCGTCTAATCTTTCTCGAACAAACATCCGCGCGAGCGCACGCGCAATTCGAATTTCCGACAAGCGCCCTGCCCATAGGAAAGTTTCATTAGCTCGGGCGAGCAATGGGGATTGGAGTTCGGTCGACACACGTTGAATACACTGGGAGCAGCGCTTCGTTACGTCGCACATCACCGGTGAACAATTTTGTTCATCGACTCTCCTATTTACCGGAGTATCAGCGCAGAAGATACGTACGGAGTATAGACGTAGGAGAAAGAGGGAGAGAGATAGTAGAGCATAGTGGCCTAGTGAGGAGCGAATGGCGCGAGAGAGCGCGCGGCGATAAGGACCGTATCAGGGACTCTTTGCTGGCGGCGCGCGGCAAACAGTGACATGCTAAGCAGCGTGGCATGCAGTCGCAACAGCAGCCAGTGTTTTCGCGGGCGCTACTGACTAATTTACAGCTTCTCAAGATAAGCGGACTCGAGCGACACGTTCAATTAGCTGTTATCAGCGGCCGCGAGCGTGCGACGGAAAGCGAGGCGGTGCGAGACGCTGTGCGCGCGAGCAGTGTGTGGTTGAGATGCGACTTACCAGAACGAGGAGGTGACGGGGGTGACGAGTATGAGGCAGAGGGCGAGTAGCACGGGCCGCATATCTTGTCGTCCCCACCTTGCCCGCTAGCAGCAACGTTGGCAGCACGGCCGCCACCACTCGCGGCGGCTACTGCTTCCAAGGTGGTGGTGCTCTAGTACTCGTCGCCTCATCTCGTTGCACGCTCTTAACTCTTTTCTCTCTCTCGCCCTCTCGCGCACTCTCTCTCTCTCTCTCTCTCTCTCTCTCGCTCGCGCGCTCTCTTGCTGTCGGGCACGAGAAACTCCAGCGGCGACAGTCAGAAAAAAGCCGAGAGAAAGACAGAGACAGTGCAAGCCTTTCCTTCCTACCGGCGCAAAGTCGCCGCGCGCTTTGAGCCGAGCTCTACCCCCACCCGCCACCGCGACCGTCAGAGCCACCCGACCGACTACTCTCCCACTCTCACGCATCAAGGCACTGCCGCCGCGGCCGCAAACGCCGCCGCCGCTCGCACACACGCGCGCGCGCACACGCTCGCACACGCACGGCCGCTCGCTCGCCGGAGCCCTGCCGCTCGCGGCACCCATCGCGCGTTGCGCGCCCCCCCGAATTTCTCGTCGGCCCGCGGAAAACTCCCGCGGAGTCGATCGGCCGCAGCGAAGCCGAGCGGCGCGGAGGCGGCCGACGACGGCATCCGTCTTATTTCCAGCGCGGGGCACTTTGGCCGACGGTGTGTAATCTTGCGCGCGGCGATGCGCGCGACAAAAATAGACGAGATTAATGCCATAAAGCTGGCTATCTTCCCTCGGCGCTGCATGCACGCACACGTGCGAGCGGCTAATTACCGCTGGAATTTATACTCTCTCCCTCTCTCTGCTTCTCCGATGCGCTCGCCAGTCATTAATCCGCTGCCTAATTCGAGCGAGCCTTTTATTTTTGGCGAGGCGCGGCGGCGCACTATCGCCGGGCAGATCTCGCGGGCGTCGGCGGGTCAGCGAGCCAGGTGAAAAGCTTTGAAAAGCCGGAGGAGCGCAGGTGTAAGCTGACGCTTGCGCGCGCGAGCAACAGGTGTGTTCGGCGTGCGCTTCGCGTGATGCGTGCGCCAGCGGGGTAATTACGCATTCGAGATTTGTGTTCCCACGAGGCGCTATAGAAACAATGCGTCAACGGTCATTTCGACATTAGGCTAACCTTCAATTTCGAGGGCCGCCGCCTCTCTCGCTCGCTCCCTTTCTCGAATGCCATTATACCTCGCCACTCGCTTCGGGACTGCTGCCGCTCGGTCGAGGAGGCGACGTATCCTCGGGACACGCGCGCAGTCGATTGTGAATTCCTGAGAACTTGCTTCTGCGTGCGCGCGCGGCCGCCTCGAGCGCAGAAGCCGAGGCAGCCTTTTATTGGACAGTTTTCACCTGACGCGCCTTTGCGTGAGCGAGCGACGACACTATCCTGCCGGGGGATCGCCGAGGTGTGAAAATGCGCTCCTGTCTCTCTCTCTCTCTCTCCTCTTGCCGCTGCTCCGCCACTCTTCGCGCTATTCATCCCGCCTCGAGTGCCTCGTAATCTTGTTAGACGGAAACTTTCGGGGCGCCTACGCTCTGGAAAACACGCGCGCACGGCCTCTTCCCCTCTGCCCACTTTTGTTTTATTGCCGAGCTCGATAATCAAATAAAACACGTTGCGCTCGCGGGAGATTCTCTTCGTCTCTAACAAAGCTCGTCAATCTGGAATTCAGTCGATTCCCGTGTACACAATGTTTAAGATTATGGACCAAAACGATACAACTTTGTCATTCGCTCGTATGGGGTACGGGAGTTTTTGTCAGCGCCGCCGAAAGACAGCAGCACGGCAGATTAAAACAGCACACAAAAGCCAGCAATTCATTAAAATCTCTCTCGATTCGCAAGTTTATTGTCATTCTCGCGAATGACTCGACGACGTTTTTGGGTATAAACTCGCGGATCTCTAATAAGTGGACGACGATGGTTTTTTGTCGCGGATCTCCGTGTTGCACTCAAACGCTTTCTCTCTCTCTCCTCGCGTCAGCGCAGCGAAAAACTGGTATTTTTCGGTGGGCGCCCGTCGCTGCCTCGTTATTCGGGCGACCCAACGCCAATGCAACGCGCAAAAACAATGCGACCGATCGCTCGCAGCTACCTCCTCTTTCTTTGTCTCTCTCGCTCTGTCTCTCTCTCTCTCTCTCTCTCTCTCTCTCTCTCGATCGTCGGGGAGCTGAAGAAGAAGAAGAGGGGAACTCGTATGTTTTTCGTGCGTCTGCCGCGACTGCTCTCCTCCCGAGCGACAGGCAAAAAGTGGCGGACGATGGACGCGAGCGAGCCGCCTAGGAGACAGGGTCAAGGCTATCGCGGCGAGATTTCGATGGAACGGGAAAAAAAATCAGAGCGAGAGGCGTTTTTTCTCCGTTCGGCCGCTACTTTGTTGCGGACTTGTTCCAACCTGAATTTTTTTTGGCCTTCTCGTGTAGTTTAGCCATGCCGTACACGGGCTCGTCTTCCTCTATCAGATCACTTACCGAAACGAGCGCGCAATAAATTGACCATAAACATAATGTTATTGCGTGTTCCTGCAATTGATACCGCATTAGATAATGTATAAAGTAGCGAGTAGGATAATGAACTAATTGACGAGCAATTAGTATTGGCAGTAAATCATGTTTATCGTTAATGGCGCGCTCGTTCTAATAAACAAACTAATCGCGGCATTAACAGACAGTCGCGTATCGATTAGAGACGCGATTGACAATAATCATTAATGTATCTTGCCTATCGAAAATCATATCGGTATTTAAATTGGAATTACGCGCGGCGATACGATAGGCGAGATTGTGCAACGTCGACGGGGCTGGCAGCGCGCATAAAATTAACAAACATATACATACGTCGTGCGCTGGCAATTACACATTCGTGAAAGAGCTCTCTCGGCTTATCTGCCGACATAACTCGCCTCGATATATCCACTTACTCACGTCCTAAATCTACGCGAGCAATAATTCAACGCAGAGAGAGAGAGAGAGAGAGAGAGAGCTCTGGCAAGAATCTGCTTGCGCGCAACCAAAGCCAAAGTAGGTAAATCGATGCCGTAACGCCAGGCAATTACGCGCCACTTATTGACCATATCGGCCTGCGAGTGCGCGCGCGCCTGTGCGCTCACAATGGTATAATTAGCCTAGGTGATCGTAAATTTTTCGGCGTACGTATGCAGCACGTGCGCGAATTGCTCTCCGCGGCCATCAGCCGCAGATGGCAAAACGCGTAACTGCGGTTATTCAGTTCTGGATCGGCGAGCCGCGCGCGCGCGCAAACGCGAGTGTAGACAGAGAGGCCCAATAGAGAGATTACGAGCACGAGCCTCGCGAGGATATTACACGCATGACCCTCGACAAAGAGAGAAAGAGAGAGAGAGAGAGAGAGGAACATACACTCACAAAGTCGGAGAATCACGATTTATATTTATATACGCGCGAGCAGTCTGTCGCGAGTTTCTTTCCTTCTCTCGTCTCTTTGATTTTTTTATCCTCTCCTTCTTCTGCTCCGTACACGATCACGAGAGCCTCTAAACGCGCGGGATTGCGCTCGCGCGCTCTGGCTTTTTTCTTTTCTCTTTTTTTGCCCAAAGAGAGGAAGACAGGAATATGTACGCGTGTAAAGGGGAGTATGTACGCGATGAGCCGTGAGAGCGCGAGCACGCGAGCATCTTGCTCTTGCTATTTAAATTTTCGAAATGATTGAAATGGTACTTCTGCTTGGTCAGGCGCAACCTTCGTGAATGCGCGCTCGACTCTCATTGTGCGAGCGAGAGCGCCGCGTTTTCGACCGCAGGACGGAGGAATTTTCACGAGCCGCGCAAAAGTAAGAGCAGCTCGAGGATAATCCTGCCTTTAAGAGGATCGAGGTGATCCTCGGTGGCGCTGCGAAATTGGCCGCGCGATTATTGCTCCATTAGCGTACAATCGCCATAGACGCGCGGCCAGCTGTAAATGCACTTTGTCGGGCGAATCTCGTCGGATTGTTCGGCGAGCGCGACGTGGCAACGTAAGCCCCTTCTGCGAATAACCATTGAGAGGGCTAAAAAATTGAAAATCCTCGCTGCGATGCTTATCAAATTTATAAGAGACCTCCTCTCGACTGCGCCCCCCGAACAACCATTAAACTCTCATTCTATTTAGTTTGAAGCCTTGCACACCGCAACTTGCAAGGGCAACAAGAAGAGAGAGAAAAAAAACTTAATTAAATTAGCCGGGGCAAAAGTTGATAATCTCGAATCGATACGAAACAATGTTGTTAAGCGGGTATGGAGGAGAGCGCGAAGGAGAGCGCGCTCTTCTCACACCCTTTCAGGCTCGGCGCGCTTGCTGGTAATCCCGGCCGGTTTCTCTCTCGCTCTCTCGGCGCTGCGCGCGCGTCTACGTTGCCGGTGTGCCTCGGGGGCTCGATCATAATTTGAGGCGGTTTCAGGGAGGTCCTACCTGGAGCTCTCCGCCAGGAAGGCGCGAGTTCAATGAAGTCATCGGCCTCGGCGCGAGCCTGTTATTACGGCCGCGCGCCGCGCCGCCATCCGCCGACAGCACGCGAGCTAAACGCTAATCACGCGCGACCGGCATTGCGCAACGCGCGCCCGATCCCGAGCTTCGCCCGCGGAACGACCGATCGGCTCTCTGTTTATTTATTGCCGCGCTGCAGGCCGGCTTTTCCGGCCAGTTTTATTCTCTCTCTCTCTCTCTCTCTCTCTCTCTCTCTCTCTCTCTCTCTCTCTCTCTCTCTCTCTCTCTCTCTCTCTCTCTCTCTCTCTCTCTCTCTCTCTCTCTCTCTGCCACTCTGGCGCGCGCAGAAAAATACACGGGCGCACACACTCGGGGGAGAGCCGTTGTGAAATTTTCCACGGCCGACCGAGGAGAATCGGGCTCCGGCCGCGCGCATTGTGTGGTTTTCACGGCGTGGGCGGCGACTCGCGCGCGCGGCTAATTTATTTGTCTGAGTGCAGCCAAACGATACGCCAACACTAAATTATAGATTTAATTAGTTAATTATACGACTACAAAAGACGTGCCGGTAACGCTCGCGCGTTAGATTAGCCGATTGATGGGGCCTGGCGTTGGCCGCTTGGCGACGACGTCTAATTTCTTTAAATCGATCCTTCCTTCCTTCCTTCCTTCCTTCCTTCCTAGTCGCAAGTCCGCTCGAGCGAGCCGACGCGAGCTTCGGCCCGCGGCTTTGGGAATGAATCGCCGGGGGACAATGGCCATGTAAATTCGTTCAATTCCCAAAGTGATGTGAAATAGCCACGGCCATAAAGTTCCGATTCTAATTGTGCGTGCACGGCTCCGCGCAAGACGCACTCCAGATTGATGCTGCGCCGCGC